GTGACAGCCCCAGCTCCCCGGTCCCCATGCTGGGCTCCTCGTGGTGTCTGTGGGGTGTTCCTGTGTACTCGGTGCTTTGGGGCTCTGCCTGGCTCTGGGTGACAAGGACAGCTGGGGAAGGACACGTTTGTTGGTGTAACGCCGCCCCTTGGGTTCAGCCTTGCTTGGCCTTTGTTTTCCTCGGCTCTGCCCCGGTGACCCCCCCAGCCCCATGGGGACGGCGGTGCCGCAGGCAGGGGCACAAAGGACGGGGTCCCCAGGCACTGCCCTCTCCAGGGACCAGAGGTGGGAGCCCAGTGTCCCCGCTGCGAAGCCCAAAGCCCTTTCCCAGTGCCAATGGGCAGGGGGGACGTTGGCCATCACCCACATTTCCCCATCGCCCTCCGGTGCGGCCATGCATGGGGGCTGCCCCCCTCAAAGGGCTCCCTGGGGGCTCAGAGCGACCCGGCATCCGTGCAGGTCTTTGTGTCCAAAACGTTTCCTCCCTTGTGTGCTGTGTTGTCTGCTCAGTGGATGCTCCCGACCTAATAAATGTTTGCAGCCAACCCCGACCTCCTCCTGGCTCCGCTCCCCCAGCTCACAGTTTCGGGTTATCCCTGAGCTCCACAGTGCGAGGAGCTGCCCGAGGGGCTGGGGAGGGCAGGGGGTTTGCAGTGGGATCGCCCTGTGCAGAGCTCAGCGGTGGCTGCGTGAGGGACCCTGTGGGGACATCCCAGGGCTTGGCCATGCACTGGGGAAGCTCCCAGATCCCAGCCCCTGGCAAAGGCACAAGCCCAAGTCGGGGGGGTTCTGCTCCTCACAACCCCAACGTGAAAAAGCTGTGCTTTCCACAATTTAATCCAGAAAACTGCTCTGATCCAGTCCTGCTCCCCATTTCACTGCTGCCCCTTTGCTGCCTCCGACCCCTCCTGCTCCCGGTGGTGCCAGGTCCTGATCCTCAACGCTCGCCCCATCCCGACCCCTCCACGTTATCCCCTCGCTCACCGCGGCGTGGGAAGAACCCCAGGCCAGACGCCGTTTCCAAGTGTTAACCATTTATAAATAAGTACATTTTTTTTCATACATACAGTTTTCATTGTACAGATTACAATCTGTATACATTGGGGGGTGGGGGGAAATGCATTCTTTTGAACTTTTCACATCTATCTCACAGCTCACATGTACAGACAAGAAAACTCTGCTCAAGCAAATACAGCAAAGGAAAAAATATGTTTTTTCTTCTTTCCTTATACATGAGAGGCGAAGGCCTCCGCTGTCGGCAGGGGCTGCTCTTCCCACTGCACAATATCACAACGGTGTGGTGTTCAATATATCCGTAGAGAGAACAGAACATGCACTGAATAATATACTGTACAGAGAAAGTCCTTTACATCGGAATTATAGAAAAGCTAAAGGAAAATTTCAGTGTCTTAAAGATCTTCCCAGCAAGTGTCTCGGCGGATGGCAGGCAGGGAATCGTACAAAGCACAAGGTGTGGGCGCCGCACGGCTTCGTACCGCACTCGGGATCCTCTCGGATGCGAAGACAAAGGAGGGAGACGAGGACGCTGAATGCAACGCGATGGGAAGGGAAAGGCAAGGAAAGGCAAGGCCGGGTGGGACGGCAGCA